AGTTCCTGGAGTCATAAAATCAGACACAACTGAGCTTGCATGTTTTTATATGCTTTTTTACAGAAAAACAGACATAAATCACTTCCCCTCCTTGGTTGCCTCTTGACCCATATCTGTTGTGAGACTGCTCATGGGAAACAACAATTTGCAGCTCATAGGTATAGAGACTTCTATTAGAACTATAGCTAGTGAAAAGCAGAGCTAGGATTTAAATTTCATCTGATTTTAACTCCAGTCATCTTTTTACTCTATCACCCTGCCAGTGGCCCTTTTGAAACCTCACAGTGATCCTGCATTTATTATAGAGTCATTCAGTTGATTAATAATTAATACTTCAGTGTAATTAGTTGCTTATAAATTATTAGGCTCCCTGAGGCTCTGGAGCATTGGTAAAACATGGTCGTTCTGTCTTTCTCTCTGTCTGTCATCTATCCGACTCTTTGTGACCCCATGGACTGTAGCCTACCAGGCTTCTCCATCCATAGGATTTTCCAGGCAAGGGTACTGAAGTGGGTTGCTATTTCCTTCTCTAGGGGATCTTCCCGACCTGGGAATTGAACCCAGGTTTCCTGCATTGCAGGCAGATGCTTTACCCTCTGAGCCACCAGGGAAGCCCTATCTATGATAGATAAGTGATGATATCTGAACTCTGATTCTTAATGTTGGCCTTGGGCTTAGCTTTATCTTGCAACTTGTCAGAAGGCATTGGCTTGTCATCTTCCCAAATCTTTGACCTGCAGAGATTGCTAGAGGATTTATAATATATTTGGTCATGATATTCAAGAATCAAGTGTAATTCTTTTTCCTCTCAGGATTGAAATTTTGTACTTGTTTTCCTATAAACAAAGTTTATGATAGTGTAGGTTATGACTACTGTGCTCTTTTCTGATGTTCTGATTATTGTGCTATGTATAGATGAACAAAATGACCTGTGAGTGGATCTATGAAGTGTAAAGAGAGTAAAAACATCTGGAGAAGCCATAGGAAAGGACTGGTTGGAAGGCTTCAGAGAATCTGGAAAGTAGTATAGAAATACTAAGTCCAAGTAAGTTCAAAGGGAAGGTTCAAGAAAGCACTAACTTGTGTTCTATGAGTATTGTTGAAAGTACTGGCAATGTTTAGCATTGAGAAAATAGATTTTGGGGGAGTCTTGAGAGATGATTTCAGGTACCTAAATTTCTATCTGAGTAAGAGGCAGTTGGCCTTTCTGAGTTTCCCTGAGATAGGATTTAGGAGTAATAGGTGCAAGTAATGTTTATTTGTTCATTTGTTGTTATTTTATTTGGTCACTTGTTTGTTCATTTGTTTACCAAATCTTTACTGATTACCTGTTCTGTGCCAGGACTGATATTGGGGATTGTGAAATGACTGAAGTATTCTTGAGTTTATAATCTTAAGTCTGCCAGGGCTGAGAATTGTAGGGAGAGGTAAATGTATAAACAGATAATTGCAATTCAATGTGAGAAGATAAAAACTTAATATAAATGAAAACTTTCTAAATGAGATCACTGAAGATAGAATAGGCTGACTTGTGAGACTGTAGATTTCTTATCATTGGAGGTTTTCAAGTAATGGGCTAGATGACATGGGCTGAAATGCTGTACAAAGGATCCAAAGGTTGTATTCCAACAATAGACTTTAGGTTTTAATAATTGAGAATATTTTGGAAAGTGGAGATCTACCACCAGGAATTTTCCAAACACAGTCTCTTCACTTCACTTCAGTCACTCAGTCATGTCCAACTCTTTGCGACCTCATGAACTGCAGCACGCCAGGCTTCCCTGTCCATCACTAACTCCTGGAGTCCACCCAAACCCATGTCCATTGAGTCGATGCCATCCAACCATCTCATTCTCTGTCGTCCCCTTCTTCTCCTGCCCTCAGTCTTTCCCAGCATCAGGGTCTTTTCAAATGAGTGAGCTCTTCGCGTCAGGTGGCCAAAGTATTGGAGTTTCAGCTTCAGCAAACACAGTGGAAGAACTGAAAAATGAAGAAAAGCATTATCAGAATGATTGAAGCCTTTCTTGGCATGTTCCTGGGGTGTGATCCTGAAAAGGAGTTATATTCAATGCAGCTTTTGGTTGAAGGACTTAAGAGGCAAAGAAGGGCCTGCTGAGGGTATCAGGTGGCTGCAGGGAGTGTAATTTTGGAACTGGCAGTCTGGAGTGGGAAGGTACACTTGAGAACTGAGCCGGTAGAAGTTCTCTTTGGGGGAGCTGAGGGACTTGCGTTGGGGTTTGGGAGGGAAAATGAAGACAGATCTGCAAAACAAAACTGGAAGAAATGGATAAAAAGTGCACCACCCAGAGAGTTGCTTTAGATTGACAAGATTGTCCTTGCTACTTGATTTCTTTTGTTCAAAAAGAGAAGTAAGGAGCAGTTGGTTTGCCAGAGGTAGGTCAGGATGAATTATATAAATAGATGAAGCTTGAATTTGGCCTTAAAAGATGAGTAAAGTTTTCATCAGTCAGAAGAGAGAAATCATCGACAAGAAGCATTAGGTGGTGGGGAAGTGGGATGGGGCAAGAGGAGGGTAAGAGACTACTTGACGAATTCAAGAGAACAGAGATTTCTGAAGTGTAATTTGACTGTAAGCTGTGTTTAGGTATGGTGGCTTAGTTTGTGAGGCAGTTCATTATCAGACTGTGAAGGACCTTAAAATTTCATCTGTACTGATCTCCTTAAGGCAAGCTATATATCTCTGTCAAAATTTTGATTAATAAAAATATTTATTGAATCCACTGTGAATCAGATATAGTAGACTCTTCTGGATTGCAAAGGTGACAAAATCGTGCCTAACCTTTGGATATCGTTCTGGATCCTGGTGAAGATAATTATAACATAACAGTGAAAATAAATGTGATAACCTGGAAGTATACCCATTGCCTTGGGAGTCTGAAAGAGGGAACCTTAACATCTTGAAGATGAGAACATTTAAAAAGGGCTTCTTAGATGAAATAGCAGTTGAAGGATGAGTGAATTTGAGGATAGGAAAGTTGGCATTCATTCTAAGCAGAGGGAACAGCATTTGCAAAGGAATGAAAGTGTGAAAGCAGCAGTATATTTAAAGAAGTTAGAGAAGTTGGGTATGGCTAGAATGTAAGGGGAATTAGAGAGAGTGGTAGTGGTGGGGAATGAAGCTGATGGGTAGAACTGGTTAAATAATGGAAGGGCCTTCAAAACAAGCTAAGGAACTTTAGCTTTTATTTTGGAATGTTACTGAAGGGTTTTGAGTAGAGTGTGAGTGTTTTAAGGTCATTGATGACATGTGGAGAAAGGTTTGGGGAAAAAATGGATGCGAGGGATCATTTAGCTCTGCATTTATTAGAAAATGTTAAAAAGACTACTATAGATTTTGTCCATTTGTTGTTGTTGTTCAGTTGCTAAGTTGTGTCTGATCTTTGCGACCCCATGGAGTGCAGCACACCAGGATTCCCTGTCCTTCACCATCTCCTGAAGTTTGCTCAGGTTCATGTCCATTGAGTCGGTTATCTAACCATTTTGTCCTTTATTGCCCCCTTCTTCTCCTGCCCTTAATCTTTCCCAGCATCAGGGTCTTTTCCAGTGAGTTGGCTCTTCTCATCAGGTGGCCAGAGTATTAGAGATTCAGCTTCTGCATCAGTCCTTCTGATAAATATTCAGGGTTGATTTCCTTCAGGATTGACTGGTTTGATCTATTTGCAGTCCAAAGGACTCAAGAGTCTTCTCCAGTACTATAATGCATTAATTTTGTCCATAGCATTGAAGTAATTGACTTTTAAAGCAGTGGTATTCAATTCTGGCAGTCACTGAGATCACTAAGTTTTAAAATTATAAAATTTTGGCCTTAATTATGGCCAGCCATACTAAATCAGAATTTATGGGGGTCAAACAAATACATTTGTATTTCTGAAAAGTTCTTGGTGATTATTATGCTTTTTTTTTTTTAATAATTAGAAACTGTAGTTTCTAAAGCACTGTTGTATTTCACTCTAAGGAGCATACATTCTAAATGGTCATGGTTAAAGATATAATTTCCACTGTAGTATGAAAGAATAATGAAAAACTTTATTAACTCTGGATATATTTATATCTATTGTCAAGCCTACTTATTTAAGGTAATAACATCTATATTCATTAAAACTATTGATTCCATACGATGGGAATTTTTCCTGCTTTCTTTTAGATTTTATTCCTTCTATTTCTCAGAAGCATTAGAAATCGCCTGTAAATTCAGTGCTGTATGGGATAAGATGGTTGTGCGTTGATCATTGTGTATTTAGAACAAGGTCAAATTTTAGTGGAAGGAGATCCTGGAGAGATGATGATAAAGGTCACGGGTCAGCAAACTTTTCCTGTAAAGGACCATATAGCATATATTTTAGATTTGTGAACAACCTAAATACTTTAGGTCTGTTACAGCTACTCTGCTTTGCCATTGGAACATGAAAGAAGCCATAGAAAATAGGTAAATGAATGGATGTGACAGTGTTTCAGTAAAACCATTTACAAAGCCAGCAGTATTACTGACCTTTGATATAGTAATACAGTTCCTACCAGAGAAGGAATGATTTTTCTAAGGTAATGAAATTAAGGCTTGGCAGAGAACTCACTATGTGGAATTCTGTTGGTAATCTTCATGTGAATATATAAATGGAAACCAAGTGATTAAGGAATTTCTCTAAAGCCTGTACGTAGCACATGGATTCATACTCAGTTTAGCTAGGCCAAATTTCTGCCTTTTAAACCACATCATTATGGTTTTTTGTACTTTGGAATGCCTTAGGAGGATGAAGAGAAAAGCAAGAACCTTGTGAATTTTCAGCAGTGCTTAGGATTGAGTAGGTATTCCATCTTTGAGTATGGTGAATTAAATAAAATAGCAGTAGTCATGGAATGCAGTAGAAGGGCTTGAGGTGAGCCCTGGAGAAAGGGTTGTAAAATTTGGATTTTTCTAAAATTTCCAAAATGTATTTCCTTTTGGTCAAAAATAAGAGGTTTGTTCTTCTTTCTGATTCCAGTAGCTGCTGCTGGTGGTGACGATGTCAAATAACGGCCTAGACACTCAAGACAAACCTCCAGCCCCTCCGATGAGAAACACCAGCACTATGATTGGAGCTGGCAGCAAAGACTCTGGAACCCTAAACCACGGTTCCAAACCTCTGCCACCAAACCCAGAGGAAAAGAAAAAAAAGGACCGATTTTACCGAGCCATCTTACCTGGAGATAAAAGTACAGTATTTCATTTCTTTCTCATCGTTTGTATACTTACATTTTTTTTTTTTTTGGTAACCTGAATAAAATATTTGTTGTTTCTTTCACCTAATTTTCTTTTAATCCCCCCTTTTCTCATTAAATAGTTTCTTTGTCTTTTTTCCTGAAATGACTGAAGTCAAATAGAAAATAGACCCATTTTTATACTCTATTAATTATATCTGAGCAAAATTTGAGGGAAATAATTAATGCTGTTGCTAGATCTCAGTCAATCTGAATTTACTTACTTTTTGAGTTCATGACCTCACAAAATGTGAGAAATATTGAAATGTCTTCATTTGGAAATTTTTTCTCCCCAAACTAGTTTCATTTGGAAGGTCTTCTTTCCAGATTTTTTGATTGGTTCTTCTTTAGTCATATGTCCTAGACTTAAACCCAGATTTAGGGATTAAATATCAGTAAGAAAGACAAGTAATAGCTGAGGTAAAAAAAAAAAAGTAGGCCTCAACATGACTTCACTAAGAAGTAATGCTAGGGAATTCCCTGATTCCCTGCAGTCCAGTGGTTAAGGTGTGACACTTTCAGTTAAGGCTTGATACTTTCACTGGAGGCCTGGGTTCAATTCCAGGTAGGGGAACTAAGTTCCCACAAACCATGTAGTCCAACCAGGGCTCATTTCCTCTTTATGAACAAAGCTTTTAGAATAATCAGGACTTTAACAGTGTATCTAATGAAGTCACTGATATCCTATGAATAAGATAGTGAAATAGAGGGTTAGTTTGTCCACAAGAATAAATGACTTTGGTTTGACCACCCAGATATGTAAGTGGCTGTTGAAATGAAGTAAAGTTCTCAGCCATGTTTGTAGGGCTTGTTTCTTATGCCATCTTTCTTATGGCATAAAAATTGAAAAAATTGCCCTTTTGTCTACAAATAGTTATCATGAGCTTCTCACTTAGGTAGCCCTGGTTCAGATCCTGGATTCATCACTTAATAGCTCTCTAACCTTAAGTATGTCCAGTTAAATCCTTTGACTTTTAGTTTCCTGTGTCTAGGAAAGGTTGGGATTTAAAATTTTTGTGCTTCACTAAGAAAGTGAAAAGATAACCCACAGAGTCGGAGAAAAAATTCCCAAATCATATATCTGATAAAGAACTTATAAAAAATACATAAAGAATTACCCATATGACCTAGAAATGAAAAATTATGTCAACACAAAAACTTGTACATGGATACTTGTAGCAGCATTATTAATAATAGCCAAAAAGCAGGGGCAGCTCAAATATTCATTGAGGATGAATGGGTAAATAAAATGTTATATATCTATACAAAGAAATAATATTTGGTAACAAAGAAATGAAGCCCTGACCCATACTACAAGGTGGGTGAACCTTGAAAACTGGTGAAAGAAACCAGTCCCAAAGGACCACATATTATATAATTCTGTTTATATGAATTATTCAGGCAAACTCATAGATAAAAAATAAGAGTGTTGCCTAGGGTTGTAGGAGTTGGTGAATGGGATTAGGGAGTGATGGCTAAGAGGCGTGGAGTTTCTTTTTTTACTTTTTATTGGTGTATAGTTGCTTTACAATGTTGTGTTAGTTTCTCTTGTACACAAAGTGAATCAGCTAAAGATACACATATATCTCCTCGTTTTTGGATTTCCTTCCCATATAGGCCACCACAGAGCACTGAGTCGAGTTCTCTGTGCTATACAGTAGGTTCTCAGGGGTTTCCTTTTGGGTCACGAGAATGTTCTAAAATTGATTGTGGGGATGGTTCTCCAGCTCTGTGAACATATTGAGCCATTGAATTTAACACTTGGAGTGAATTTTATAGTATGTGAATTTTATCTCAGTAAAACTCTGTTAAAAAAAAACAACAGCTGATGGAGGCATTTAAACATCATTGGAACTGAGGAGATGACCTTATGTATTGAATTGGGAGGTAGAGATCTAGATATTGTTATAGTCTTGGTTCTCTCATAAATTGGCTACCTGGTTTGGGTCAGGTATTGGCTGTGAACTTAAGTGCCTTCATCTAAAATGTTACAGCTACACAGATATAGGGATCACATTAGTGATACCAGTAGGGAGAAGGAAGAGGGTTGTTATGGGATTATATGAAATCATGTGTGTGAAACCTTTGAAAATCATAAAGTGCTGTAGAATTTAAAGAATCTTTTACTCAATAAAAAGTAATTAAAAGATAAAAAATTGGTCAAACAAGTTGAAATACAGTCTCTTACAGTTTTGAAATCCTATAATTATGTAAATGAGATATAAATATGAAGTGGGATCAGGTTGTATATTATGAGAAACAAAACTAGGCCATTGTGAAGTACTTTGATCAGCAATAAAGCTGTAGATTGCAGAAGTTCTTCTAGAAATCCTTGTTGAGTAACCCTAGGCCAAATCTGTTCTGAAAATAAAACTCATAGCTCAAGATCAAAGCATAGAAGTTTTCTGTAAGTTCAAAGCGTAGAGATAGAAAGCATATAGTTATGAGAAGTTCTTGTGAAATGATCTGGTGGCCTCTTTTTCACTCCCTAGTTTTGGATTTCCTATACATACCCTAAACGCATAGGTTTTACTCCTTTGCTTTAATACTTTGCTGTGCTGTGCTTAGTCATTCAGTCATGTTCACCTCTTTGTGACCCTTTGGATTGTAGCCCGCAAGGCTCCTCTGTCCATGGGGATTCTCCAGGCCAGAATACTGGAGTGGGTTGCCATACCCTTCTCCAGGGGATCTTCCCAACCCAGGGATCAAACCCAGGTCCCCTGCATTGCAGGCAGATTCTTTACTGTCTGAGCCACCGGGAAGCCCTATTAGATGGCGGTAATTAATGCATACATCAAAATGAAATAAATGAGTTTTTTTCCCTTTGTTTGTAAATTATATTCAGCTTGATTTCATTCAACCAATAGGTATTTGTTGACCTGATGCTTTGTGCTTGACTTAGCCCTAGAGGGATACATAGCAGTGTTGGCAGTCTTTGAAGTAGTATGCCCTTCATAAATTATTTGAGAATTTATACCTGCTACAGAGTAATGAGCTAGAATTGAGTTTAGAGAACCCGATTGAGTCCTACCTCTAACATTGATTAAATCTGTGATTTTTTTTTTTTAAGTCCTTTTACCTGTTTATTTTAATCCCTGTATCCTTAACTGTAAGGTGGGAATAATTATAATTTCCAGTCATCCCATATTATGAGTAGGCTATTGTCATTTCATGTAGTGGATATCAAAGCATTTTTTAAACTGTGTAAAACATTACAGAAATATGAATTTTTTTAAAAGGGAAACCTCATTTCCTGTTTGATGTGGTATCTTTAACAATTCATTTTCAGTTGGAGAGGCTAAAGCTTAGAGAAAAGTAAATTTATCAAGGTCTTACAGCTGGAAGGTGGCAGGAATGAGTGTGAAACTAAATCTTTGTAAAGTATCTACCACGTCACAGAATACTATCTGTTAATTGTTCCCAACCCAGATTACACATCTGACTCTTAAATGGTTCTTTTTTGAAATTGATGCTTGGGTCCTACCCATACTTTTGGAGCCAGAATTTCCATAGGGGAGCCTGAAAGGCTATAGTCCATAGAGTTGCAAAAAGTTGGACACAACTGAAGCGACTGAGCAGGCACACAGTCTTTGGGTCTAAGGGGATTTGGAGAAGAGAAAGAAGAGTTCTTTGTGGGCTGCATTAGTGGTTGAGACTTGAGCTGGCAATGGGTAGAATGTCTGTAGTCATCACCTAATGCTTACCTCCAACATGGCTTTAGTGTGTGCCTGGAGGGATGCATAAATGATTGTGAGAAGATGTAATTGAGGGCCTGTGATAGGTGGCGCTGAGTTGCAGAATTCCATGTGGGAAAGTCTGGTTCCTGTGGTTAGGATCTGGAGCCTTTGGTTTATTCTAAGAAGTTCTTCAGCATTTAGTTTGGAATTTTTTTCTGGCTGCATTTTCACAACCAAAGTGGAATTCTCCAAGCTTGGGAAGAGTTTAGCTAAGTTAATTTTAAAACTGGACTACATCAGTGTTTATCTCTCCAAGTTTGGAGTGTTTTACTGCCTTGAGCTCAGATTAGCTCAGCTGAACCCATGAGAGGGGCTTCTTAAAAATAAATCTTAAAAAAAATAAAGTCAATGATTTGTGCTGGAACTTGGATAGCTGTACTGCAACTTGGGATTTTGCAATGTCAGCCTTATTTCCCATGCTACCAGGAAGTCAAATGGAATTAGCCAAAGATACGGTTAATATTAATATTAGGATGGATGGGGTTGTAGACTTCTTTTTCCACTTTATTTCTGTAAGTCTGTGATCTCTGGTTTCATGAAATCAGGTGATTCGTTCTTTTTCCTCAGTCACAATTTCTCTGTCTTAATGAGTGGGTGGGTAAATCCTACTCTGACACTTTGCTTTATTAATAATAATTCATGTTTGTAAAGCTCTTTAGCTTTTATAAAACACATGCATTCTCTTCACCTTAGTTGATCCTTAAAATAGTAATAGTAATAAATGCAGAAATAACAAATAGTACTAACACAATAGTAATAAGCATAACATTTGTTGTTATTTAGTTGCTTGGTTATGTCTGACTCTTTGCAACCCCATGGATTACAGCACACTAGGCTCCTCTGTCCTCCACTGTCTGCCAGAGTTTGCTCAGATTCATGTCCATTGAGTTGGTGATGCTATCTAACATCTCATCCTCTGCTGCCCTCTTCTCCTTTTGCCTTCAGTCTTTTCCATCATTGGGGTCTTTTCCAGTGAGTCAACTCTTTGCATCAGGTGGCCAAAGTATTGGAGCTTCAGCTTCAGTATCAGTCCATTCAATGACTTTTCAGGGTTGATTTCCTTTAGGATTGATTGGTTTGATCTCCTTGCTGTCCAGGGGACTCTCAAGAGTCTTCTCCAGCATTACAATTTGAGACCATCAGTTCTTTGGCTCACTTATTATATTAGGAGCTTTGATGGTTGTGAAATATACCAGTTTTTCATGGAGATAAATATTT